AACCCAACTCTGATGATGTCCATCGAATGATGGTCGAAAGCTCAGCCCGTTTTCACCCGAAACGGGAGAGGAAGTCCCGTGGACTGCGTCAACATGAAAATATCAGCTAAAAGCCAAACGGGATCCAACTGTCCTCTTCTGGTGAGATCGAACAACCAATCTTTTCTTCATGCACTTGCATACGAAATGAAAGTTCCCCCAACAATGGTTTTAACAAGTTAGCCCGTACCTAGTCCTGCGTTTTCTGGCACAGCATTCGTGATTAACAGCATCGGACCGTTGACTTGGTACATTCTTGCACGTCTCGCCGGCATCGCGACATCATCAGAACAGAGTCACAAAACGTCAAAGTGATGCATGAAAGCGATCCCTTGGACTAATTGTCTCTTCAACTCTTGTCACGTCGCGCTCGCTCCCATTTTTGTCCCAACCTCCAGTACCACATCTCTTTCACTCAACTCCACTTCAGATAGTTTAGTCGCAGTCTCCTTTTGTCTCATACTTTGGGCTTGAATCAAACCTGGGATCGGCCAAAATATCAGCCGGCGGATCCACTTGTGCGATGTGGGATCAGAAAGAAAGGGCTAAAAGTATGGGTGGGCCAAATATAGACCCCAAATGTGTGTGCGTCGGTGTTTGTGTGTATTTTTTGTGTCTGTGCCTGAAGAGGAGGCGACTGGTGACAGGCTTGACGACGGGGCATACCAGTCGAGAGACACACGAACAGCGTAGTGCCCCAGGGTTAGATGGGAATGCCGACGTGAAGGACGAGAGGAGTGTGCCACTCGCAATTGAGGAGGGGAAGAAGAGAAGCGGTGCATTTTCACACCAGCCGTTATGAATTAAGCCGTACACATGCCCCCAAAGACTGAGGCACAATGTGGGAAAGAGGACAACCGAATCATGGGTTTGAAGCCGGGCAAGAAGAAGTCTCCGAGGCACTGGTGTGGGCATCTTTTGCTCTGAATCCTCGAGAACGTGAATTAAAGGCTCTTCGGCAGCCAGTTTGCAGACAATCGGGCAGTGATTTTGCTGCTTGATTGATAAGCTCAAGGAAGTCGAGAGTGTTTAAGCCACCGACAAAAGCTATGCGACTAAGCCGGTCAGCTCAAGGAGGTCCACACTCGTTCAACAGTTCTACTAAACCCATAAAACTAACCAGACTGTTATGCTTCTAATTGGGTCATTCAACCTTGATGGAGCAAGACTGACGTTGAACTCATTTGTAGTTAATTGTAGTTGTGACTGGTATTCCGTATTCGTAAATGAGTACCCTGAATTATGCGCTTGTGGGCCTGTCAGTCATAGCAACACAGACAACCAAGCATAGCATTACTTAAAGTAGTATGATACTGAATTGTCAAGTTTTCCAAACTGCAATTAGACCACACCCAACCAAATTGTATTGACGCTCTTTCGTATAAAATGTAAGGAAGGACTGGCAGTTGACCTTCCTCACAAGCGGTTGAGCAGGTCCGATGTTGCTCAATCTTCTAAAAAGGTATCCCCATCACGAAGCACACGATTTCAGTTTCGGCCTCACCTCAACTGGTCTGGTCAGCAGCCAGAATGAGACACGAACTCAAGTTGTGCTTTGAGCAGAGCACAATCTGGACACGCCAACCACATCTGCTCTGTGGGCCAAGGACACTCGTAGCAACGTAGCGTGGCGGTTTCTATGTCAAGATTGTACACTCAAATTTCATAATTGAACTGTTGCTGAGGGTGTTGATAAAACCAAAGAGAGGCTGCAACAACAGTCCACCTTAGACGAGAATATCTTTTGCGAAACAAGGCAATGCGCCATTGAATGGAACAGATCAGCTCTACTCATCAGATTGTGGGGAAATTCAACTGCCAGTCCTTCATCACCTTCAACGAAATAGGGCGAAAACAACTCATAAAATGGAAGAAAGTGGTAAATCTGGCCAAAACTTCAGTTGGCATTTGAGCGGAGGTCTCTGCTAAACGCTTTCACGTTGCTTTCGCAAATGGTGAAGACGTCGAAGGTGACATTTTGCAGGAACTGGCAAGTGTAAAGGATGAGTTGGCAGAGGATACGAAGAGCGATATCGAACGACAAGTTGTCCCTTTAACTGATGACCACGTGGCAACATCAAATAAGAATAGAACAGTTCTACGATTTAATGAGATGTATTCACCCTATTTCATCTAAGGTGATGAAAGACTGGTAGTAGAATTTTCCCACAATGCTATGAGTTGAGCTGACGTTTCTATTGAATTTCACATAGCCTTGCTTCCCCAAAAGTTGTTCTCATCCCGACTGAGGTGGACTGCAGTTTCGACCTCGCATTGGTCTTATCAACACCC